AGACAAAGAGCCTGCCATGAAACTATCCACACTTGATGTTTCCCAGGTACCCATCTAATCTTCTGATTGCAATGACTTGAGATGACTGTAAAGGTCCTTCAAGTATCCATATCTACATTCCTTTGGTTAGACTTAGGCTATTTTCCCATGGGACCCATCACATCCAAAATTCCTCACAAATACTTAAAGCCCATAAATTGGCTTGAGAAAATAACGAGGGCCGGGGATACAGTTCAGCGGCACAAGCACCTGCCTAGCAAACGCAGGGTCCAGAGTTCAATTCCCAGTACAAAAAAAAAAAGGTAAAGAGCAAAACATCGTGCCCATACCTGTACAATAAGTGAGGGAGTGGACTGCCTTCTGGAGCTTTCACTCCTTCAAGAGAAGCACAAATGTTCCCTGTTCCAGGAAATAATGCATCTCATTTCTTGAGTGCCCACTTTCTCTTGAGTGCATCCTAAAATCTCTGCCTCGCTAGGCATGAGGGCACACACCTGTAATCCCAGCACGCAGGGGGCTGAGGTAGGAAGATTGCCATGAGTTTGAGGCCAGCCTGGATGACATAGCAGGACCTTGTCTCAAAAAAAATTTCAATTTTTTTTTGATACTGTGAATCAAACTCATGACCTCAGGCTTTCCAGGCAAGCGCTTATGCCGCTGAACTACATCCCTGGCCCTAAATTTTTTTTTTTTTTTTTTTTTTTTTTTTTTCTTGAGACAGGGTCTCAGTATGCAGTTCAAGCTGGCCTTGAGCTCACTTTGTAGCCCAGGCTGTCCTCAAACTTGCATCAATCCTCCTGCCTCAGCCTCCCCGGTGCTGGGATTACAGGTGTGTGCCACCACACCCAGCTCAAAAAAATAAGAATCTCTGCCTCATAAACCTCCCTGTGCCTCTTAAAATTTCTTTAAGTAATTTAGAACATATATTTTTTCCCCCTTAGCTCTGAGTTCAACAAACTACCCATCAAATGTGTTAGCTTGGCCAGGCATGGTGGTGCACGTCTATAATTCCAGCACTTGGTAGACTGAGGCAAGAGGATCACTGTGCATTTGAGGCCAGCCTGGGCTACATAGTGAACTCAAGGCCAGCCTGAACTGCACAGTGAGACCACCCCCCCAAAAAAAAGTGTTAGCTTGCCTCAAAAAAACAGCTTGCCATTCTGTCATACCACTCCCCCTTGTAGCTGAAGGGCAAAAAGAGCCAGACGATTCCTGTATCAGTGAACGTGGCTGTGCTCCAATAAAAGTCTACACTAAGATTTGAATTTCACGTATTTTTAATGTATTGTGAAATATCTTTGGGTTTTCAACCACTGAAAACTGTAAAAACCATTTATTACCATACAAAAAGAGGCCTCAGGTCAGCTTATTGACCCCTGCAATAACTTCATGTAGTTTTCGTACTTTATATGCTGTTTTGTATCCCTGTCTTATGTTTATCAGCTTTGCTCTTTTTATGGAATAAAATGGACCTCTACTTTGTAAAAGTGTATCTACAAGGGTTTGACCTCAGTGGCCTAATATTTCCTGAGGCCCTATTTGGGCCAAGGCCAGGACAGATCCAGCACAGAGACAAGCCTGGGAGAATGTACAGCATAATCCCAATCTCCACAATATGAAACCTCATCTCCATGTGTTAGACTTCAGGTAACTTGGAATTCCTTTTTTTCCTATTTTCTAACGTGTCTACAGGAACACACATATGTTTCAGTGACTCTCCAAGCATACAGGATACAATGTAAGAGATTCAGCATAGCACTGAAGCTCGACAGAATCTGGCCCAGCTTCTCTCCAATAACTTCTTTCACCACTCTTTAAACTATATATACCATCAATGCTGAATTAATTTACTTAACTGAATTAATTTGCTTCTTTCTTTCCTGGCCCATGAAATAGGACGATGCATATTTGTCTAATTTACAGGACTACCAAAGCCTCAAATGTAGCAACATTTAAATGCTTTGGACACTTAAACATGGGGCTAAAACATGGTGCATTTGGCTATTATCTTGTTACTAATTTTGTTTTCCTTCCTTTTAAATTAAAAGCCCCAAGGACAGGGACAGACACTGCCTTCCTCCTCCGCGGTCAACTCCACTGCCTTCCTCCTCCGCGGTCAACTCCACCACACGGTTCCTGGTCCATGGTGGGGGCAGGTGATGCTTATTTACTGAACAAAGGCAACCACACAAAATGTAAATAGTGGCAAAGAAACAGGACATTAACAATCCAATCTTCAGCCAGGCGTGGTGGTGCACCCCTGTAATCCCAGCACGCGGGAAGCTGAGGCAGGGGGATTGTTGTGAGTTTGAGACCACCCTGGGCTACAAAGTGAGTTCAAGGCCAGCCTGAACTGCATATCGAGACCCTGTCTCAAAAAGACAAACAAAACAAAACAAAACAATCCAATCTTTGACAAGTAGAATGGGAATGGGACTTATAATTACTACTCACTCTTCTGTATTTGTCCTATTAGATTCTTCTTTATTTCTAAATCCCCATAGCAAATTCTAATTAGAACCTGAACATAGTACAAAGTTTTACAAGAAGCACCAGACATAAAGTTCACTATAAATTTTAATCTATGATATAAATTGTTAAAGACACATATTAAAAAACAATATAGTGATTAAATTCCATTTTATAAATACTTTTGTGGAACAAAGAGATTTCCTTCATATCTGACTTTGTATTGTGCTTTGTTTGCCTTCTGAGAACCGCACTATAATAACAAACTATGTAAAGAACACATGTAAAGCATGTTAAAGTGGTTGGCATAAATGTACTGTTTACTAATTCAAACAATACCACATTCACTCATTCACTGAATGCACTTCATTTACCTGTAAGTTCCCTTATGTAGGATGAATTACTACACTCCACATTCCTCATGACACAGTAGTTTCTTCCTCCAGTACAATCAGGGACCAACGGACACACTTAGGGTGTGGGAAGACTCCCCTTTAACTGTACCAAGATAACTGCTCCTCAGGTTCTGGCATCATCAATGTTAGGAAAGCATTTTTTCTTGAGACAATACCACACTGATACTAAATATGGCAAATTCAATGGTTACCAGCATCACTTTAGAAATTATGAGATATTTAGGTAAATAAAACAATAATCAACATAGACTTTGTCTCAAAAATACAAACAAAAAAACTATAATCATAAACATAAGAAAAAAGTCTACCAATGTCTTTCAGGAAGAGTGGTACATTTTCAAGGTTCTTCATTATTCTGTGTAGTAGTAAGGACTTCTAAATGTTTTCCAAATGTCTTAAAGCTGAAAATTCGCCAGGTGTGGTAGTGCTTGCCTGTAATCCCAGCACTTGGCAGGCAGAGGCAGAAAGACCACAGCAAGTTTGAGGCCAGCCTGGGCTACAGTGAGTTAAAAAACCAGCCTGGACTACATAGCTAGACCCCCTCTCCCCTAGAAAGCTGAGAATTAGTTATATTATTCAGACTTTAGCTTTGTTAATAAAGTTTTTAAAAAGTATTATAAAAGCTAAAATTTACATGTGAAGAAATTACAAGTCTTTATAATGTACTTCTTTGTGTGTGGGGGGGGCGGTACTGAGAATTGAACTCAGGAGCTTGCACTTGCCAGGCAGGTGTTTATACCACTGAGCTATATCCCCAATGGAATTACAAGTCTTTAATAAGACAATTTTCAATATATATGCTTCAAAAAATTCTAATGTAATTTTGTGGGGGGGGGGGTGCTGGAGATTGAACCCAGGCCTTTGTGCAAGCTAGGTAAGTGTTCTACCAGCCTTTTTAGTTTATGAGATAGGGTCTCATTAAGTTTCCCAGGCTGGCCTCAAATTTGCGATCGTCCCGTTTTAGTCTCCTGAGTAGCTGGGATTATAGACATGCACTACCTATCCAGTTTTAGCCCTCTTTCTTGATAATACCTGGTAATTTATGACTTGCTTTCCAAAAGTACAGACACAAGTATGTGAATGAACGCTGAGCACAGTGGTGCACATCTGTAATCCCAGCACTTAGGAGGTTTAAATAAGAGGATTGCCAGGAGTTCAAGGCCAGCCTAAGCTACACAGTGATTCAAAGCCTGGACTATAGAGCAAGACCCTGTCTCAAAAGGAAAAAGAAAACAGCAGTTTTCGGTGGAAAAAATGGGGCTTCTTCTCTTTTAAAAATTCATCAGGCTTCCATGTGCCAAAATGTTGAAAACTGCACACATTCAAACGTAGTCACCCCCCATGCAAACAAAAATGCCTGAACTCTTAACCTCTGAAGTCACAGGAAAAGGGCAATATAAATGTTCCCTTCTCTTCACCTGACATGAATTATTTCTGTTTTTACTCAAATTCGCTCTGTGAGAACATGAGGATACAAGAAAGGGTTAGATTTTCATTTTTCTGCTATTCTATCTGGTAAAATTAGACCAAAAGTACATGGGTCACAGTAATTGATAAACTAGCCTAAAGTAATTAGGAATTTACTTTACAATTCCCTTTTTTTTTTTTTTTTTTTTTTGATTTTTTTCTTCGAGACAGGGTCTCAGTATGTAGTTGAGGCTGGCCTTGAGCTCACTTTGTAGCCCAGGCTGGCCTTGAACTCACCACGATCCTCCTGCCTCAGTCTCCCAAGTGCTGGGATTATACAATTCCCTTTTAAAAGCTGTCATTTGACAACAGCTTAACTATGAAACAGCAGGCAAAAGATAATGAGGTGACATGCCATATAAATTAAAACATTGCAGCTGGGCGTGGTGGCACACGCCTATAATCCCAGCACTCAGGAGGCTGAGGCAGGAGGATCCTTGTGAACTGGAGTCCAGCCTGGGCTACAAAGTGAGTTTGAAGCCAGCCTGAACTGCATAGAGAGACCCTGTCTCAAAAAGACAAAAAAAAAAACAACAACAAAAAAAGCAAGATAAAAGTAAGTACAATAGCTGAAAATAAATTCAGTGCTATAGATATTTTAAAATGTGTAATTATTAAAAATCTGAATAAAAAGGTCTTGAGAACAAATACATTTTGAGGCAATATTTTATAGACTTTGAAAAAATAGGCATATTTCAAATAACTTGAAGTATCATTTACAGATTTCATAGTCTCTTAAAATTGTTTTCTTCAATGCTGCTTTGCTTTCAAGTTTCTCTCAGTGACTGTTCTTTATGCTGAAATAAAACTCTGCTTGTTCATTAGTTTTCTGTACACCCCATCTGGCTTTGAAAGCAGCTCCTCATGTTTCCCATGTTCAAGAATTCTTCCCTGGTCAAGCACAGCCACAAGGTGGGCATTCTTGATGGTGGACAGGCGGTGGGCGATGATGAGCACTGTTCTGCCCTCCATCAGTCGATCGAGGGCCTCCTGCACCAGGTGCTCATTCTCGGCATCCAGTGCACTACATGGGCCACATGGAGGAAGCAAAGACATGAGTGCCACATGTGCAGTTGCTCATGTACCTCCTGGTCTACTGTCAGGGGCCCTGCACTAGCAATAGCCTCCACTTTGATAAGAATCGCCCTGCTGGGGCTGAGGGTGCTACAAGGAGGTGGTGTGCACAAACACTGTGGCCTCAGCACCCAGGCTGACCAGAGGGATCCAGGTCTATCTCAAAGGTGCTGGAACCAGATCTAGGCCTGCCTGTGCTCTCCACTGCCCCTGCTGATCCAGGCACCATCACTGTGCAGTGCTGGGGAAAAGCACTGTGTGTTCCATCACTTTGAAAGAATAGAAATGTTTTCCTAGCTGGGGGTGGTGGCACTGCACACCTGTGATCCCAGCGCTGGGGAGTTAGGGAGGTGGGGTGGGGTTGAGGCTGAGGCTGAGGCGGGAGGACTGCTGTGAGTTCAAGGCCAGCCTGGCTAGCCTACATAGTGACTTCAAGGCCAGCCTGAACTACATAGTGAGACTCCGTCTCAAAAAAAAACCCCACCAACACCAACAAAAAAGTTCTCCTGAAAAAAAAAAAAAAAAAAAAAGTTCTCCTGAAGGGAGCATTTAGATTAACACAATTATACACATTATTAAGAACTAGGACATCCTAACATGGTCACTTTATCTAAGACACAATGAAAAGGTCTTGGTGGAGAGGTAATTTGGTTTAGCACAATTACACATTTACTAAGATACTTTGTATGCACATGTTATAAGACATCCCTCCCCCCAGACACAGGTCAGGAAGACATCAGGGCATTGAGACAGCTTTACCTGGTTGCTTCATCTAGGAGAAGAATTTTGGGATTCTGAAGAAGGAAAACAATTTAAAAGAAAACATTATTTTACTAGAAAAACCCAAATTTTCAGCAATAAAAAGGAATCACATTCTGACACACGCTACAGTGTGGATAAACTATGGCAGTATTAGTCAGTGAAAGAAGCTAGGTACAGGAGCCACGCACTGTGTGCTTCCACCTGTGAAATATGCAGAACAGTCACTGCATAGACGGCAGGCACATCAGTGTCATCCAGGGCTAAGTCAGTGCGGGACACAGGAGGCTCACACAGGGCTCTGCCTGGAGTCACGAAGACATTCACTCTAAACAGATGATGGTGCTGGAGAATTATATCTCAACAGAGCTTTTTTTGACACAGAGTCTCACTGTATAACCCAGGTTGGCCTCATATTGGTGATTCTCCTGCCTCAGTCTCCCAAGTGCTAGGATTATAGATGTGCACCACACCTGGCTTCAAGAGAGCTATTTAAAAAAAAGAAAAACACAGACTCAAATGTCTGAGATAGGGACAGTTTAGAAGAGTTGAAGACAATTTTAAGCCATTATCACAGTGACACCAGACTGGACATTATTCACAACAGTTTTGTCCTGTTGGTCAATCAAGGAATAGCGTGATAGCTAGGTATGGTGGTACACATCTGTAATCCTCGCACCTGGGAGGCTAAGGTAGGAGTTCAAGGCCAGCTTATCCTACATAGTGAGACCTTGTCTCAAAAGAACAAAACACACACACAAAAAGAAAAAAAAAAAGAAAAGAAAAAGAAAGAAAGATTGAAATAGGAAGAAAGTGTTCAAACGGAGTGGGGAACAAGGGAGGGTGGAGGGGGCCAGGAAAGAAGGTAAAAGTAAAAAAAATGAGAAAAGAAGGAAAACATGGAAACAAAACTTTTGTAAATGGGGAGGATCAGAGGAGTTGAAGGGAGGATAGGCGAATGGGGAAAAAAGAAACATATCATGTACAGGTACATATTCTCCATGATGAATGTGATCACTACGTGTATCTAAAATGTGCCAATAAAATCTGATTGGGAAAAAAAGAGATAATTTACAGCAGAGGAAAAACACGATGTTTCTGTCCAGAGAACTACACAAAAAAATTGTGGTGCACAACAGCGAGCTGAGAGGTGAATAGGCAGGTGCAGCATCACAAAGACCTACAGTGGTAACAGGAAAACAAAAAAGATGTCAACTGCACCCTATAAGAACAGGAGAACAAACCATATGTGCTATCTGTGTAGGCTATACCTGTTTTTTGTCTTGTCTTTTTGAGACAGGGTCTCGCTATGCAGTTCAGGCTGGCCTTGAGCTCACTTTGTAGCCTGGGTTGGTCTCGAACTCACATCGACCCTCTTGTCTCAGCCTCCCGAGTGCTGGGATTACAGGCAAGTGCTGAGATTACAGGTGTACGCCACCACACCCAGCTTATGCTTGTATATGGAACTTGTGCAATTGTCATGTGTGAAGACTGCCCTGGATGTGACAGGTGAAGCAAAACTTGTTTCTGTGGTAGACTTTTGTCTGTGTTTATGCTGTATTTCACACAGGTTTTTATTTTAAAAAAAGAAAGAAACAGCATGAGATGAGAATCTGAAATGAGTAAAACAGATTGAAACTCTCAAAGTCTTGTTAATAGTTGATTTAGGTGGGCTGCGGATATAGCTCAGTGGCATAAGCACCTGCCTGGCAAGTGCAAGGTTAAGTTCAATCCCCGGTACCGCCAAAAAAAGAATAGTTGATTTAGGAATACCCAGCTAGTACATAAAATTGGATAAATAAGAGTAAATCACTGGGGCTGAGAATTTAGCTCAGCAGCAAAGCGCCTGCCTGGCAAGCGCAAGGTCGTGAGTTCGATTCCTGGTATGAGAAGAAAAACAAAGAAAAGAGTAAATCACTGTAAAATAATGTAAAATAGATGCTTAGTAAGCTTAGAGTTGGTTATAAACACAATCCAATTGTAGAGCATTTCTGTTACCCAAAAAGTCCCCTCCCAAGTCCTGATACCAAAAAAAAAAAGGAAGAAATAAAATGGATGCATTTCATAGTATGGAAACTGTGCGTCTATAACCTGTCTTTAAAAGATCACCTGTATACAAAGGAGGTGGCGGGGACAGGGGGATAAAACAGCAAAGGGACAACAGAAGCAAGAGGAGGCCAGTGTGGAGTTAAAGAAACCACACTTGTTACTTGATGGATGGATCTTCTAGTAAAGTTCTTAACTGCTTTTCTGGTAACTTCTAAGTCTCTTCTGCTTTACACATTACTTATCCACATTGTTTGGGAAATAAATTTTTTTTCCATTGAAAAATAAATAAATAAATAAAAAATAAATAAATAAAAGATCACCTGTAAAACCTGAAGACAATCACTACAAAACAAAGGACAAGGGGCTGGGGATATAGCTCAGCAGCACCACACTTGTCTGTCAAGTGTGAGGTGGTGAGTTCAATTCCCAGACCAAAAAAACAAAGAACACCAGAACAAAGGACAAGGTTGCCATTTCCTTCAACATAGGACAATGGACCGTCAGCTACTAAGGTGCTTCCCCTTCCCTCTGGGAGTCCAAGTACTTCAAATTTGTACTGAACTCAGGCTTGACTCCAGGTTATACAAATACACATTCTCATGCTGTTTGGATAAGGTAAACTTCCTGTCCCTGGGTGAAACTTTTCTCCCTCTGACCACCCTACAACAGCCCTGGGCCCTCACACCCAGGAAATACTCAATATTCACGGTTAAGTTTGTACTCAATATTCACGGTTAAATTAGTGGAACCCCTAACTTATCTTTTACCAGATTCTCAACCATATACCCACCCACCCTCTCAAAAAAAAAAGAAGAAGTAGTAGAAGAAGAAGGAGAAAATGGTAAATTACAAACTCCCAATTAAAAACAATACTAAAAAACCAGGCAACTGGATTCAGGTTTACCTTAAGCAGTGCACGGGCAATCGCAATCCGCTGCTTCTGTCCACCTGATAAAAATAACATTTTAAAAAAGAAAGTCTTAACAAACATTCTCAGGAAAAGGTCTTTCTGATAAGACATGGCAGTTTGAAGATGCCTTCTAGTTTGCCATAGGTGGCATTGATAGTTGAACAAAAACCTACTTCTTAAATATGTTCCCATCAAAGTCAAAATTAGTAATTATTGTTGTAGCTAAAATTTATTGAGGACTTACTACACTTCAGCATCTCTTTTCCTTTGTGGGATTGAACCTAGGGGCTCTGCACTGAGCTGTATCTCTAACCCTTTTTAAATTTTGAGATAGGGTCTCACTAAATTGCTAAATTGCCCAGACTGGGCTCAAACTTGTGCAGTTCTCTTGCCCCAGCCTCCTAGGCTGCTGGCAGGCTTTTTTCTTTTCTTTCTTTTTTTTGAGACAAGGTCTCTCCATGTAGCTTAGACTAGCCCTGAACTCACTATGTAGCAGAAGCCTCAGCCTCCCAAGCGCTGAGATTATGGTTGTGTCACCACACCTGGTGGCAGGCATTTTCTAAACACATTATGTGTGCTCTTTCATCTTTTAAAAATATCCCTTGAGATAGACTCTATAATTATGCCCATTTTACAGGCGGCAAATGGAGGCACAAAGTAACATGTCCCAGGTCTCACAGTTGAAGCAGCAGAACCAGCACCTGAGTCAACAATGGGAAAAGCTCTGTCTCTGCTACCACACACTGTTCCTTCCCAGTATGACACCCAGTGTAGAGAAGACTACAAACTCAAGAGATCCTATCTCTGCAAACTAGTCTTTACTCTGCCCTCCTCATGGTGTATTCTTCATCTCCCCGCCCTGAAGCATATGGTCACACACACAGGAAGATACCCTAAGCCCCTCCTTTTTCAAGCACAAATTCCACTCAAAGGAAGGGAGCAAGAGATGAAGGGAAGCTGCAAGGCAGCAGTCTTGCCTGGCCAGTGTCCTCCCCTCCTCCAGGGACCACCCCACTGAGCTCCCACAGCCCCGAGGGTTCATACCTCCCCATGCGGGTTGCTGCAGGAAACCTAATTCTGCCTTTGGTGGTAAAGCCTTCCCTTTAGCTGACTGCTGGCAAAGCATCCTCCGCCGCAGAAACTGCTGGGCAGCACACAGCCTCGTGCAGGTGAAGTCCTTCATGTACAGCTGTGCTGCAGTGAACTGGTCACTGCTCCCCGCAGGAGTCAGTGCATGAGGGATCCTCTAACCATCAGCATAGGTATCTGAGTGCCTGGAGGTTCCTAGAGCGGCCAGCTGACAGTCTCCTGTGCTTGGAAGTGCCCTCAGGACCAGGAGGTGAGCTGGGGACCTGCTCCTAGGTGCCTATTCCTCCCAGGACACAAGGGCAGTTGCGAACTGTGGCTTATTTGGTTGTGAAGTGGAACCAGAGAATGCTGCTAGAAGAAAAGGACACACACAGCAATTTCTACCAGGAGCCGCTGAAGCTGGTTTTTCTGCCTAAGGACATGTCTCAGAGAAGCAGCAGCTGGTCACTATCACATAGCAAGGTGTGGATTTTACTCCTGCAATGTCTAAGATCCACCAGAACCATCTGCTCACTACTATTTTTGGCTTAAAAAACATACACAATGCTAGGTATTGTGGTGCACACCTGCAATCCCAGCACTCAGGAGACTGAGGCAAGAGGACTGCCATGAGTTTGAGGCTAGCCTGGACTACAGTAAGTTCAAGATTAGCCTGGACTATACAATAAGACCCTGTCTCAAAAAACAAAAGAAAACAAACAACACACAAAAAGGCTATCAAAAAAAAAAAAAAAAAAAAAAAAAAAAAAAAAAAAAAAAAATGGGCAAAAAACACCCAAAAAAAAAAAAAAAAAAAAAAAAAAAAAATGCACGATAAACTCAACATTTTTGTTTTACCTCTCAGAGGTCCAACTGCAAGCTGATGTGAGAGGCAGAAAGGGTCACTGCCTGTTCTACCCTGTGGCCTGCTCACTGTCCTTAGGCACCTGACACTTCCAGGCAGAGTCAGGTTGTCCAAGGAGACCCGTATCAGTATTCATAAAAGTCTGTGTTTATCCAAAACTTTATTTCCCTTTCAGTTGTACATAGGGGTCCTACCCTTGCATACAGTAATACGAATCAAGTCCTCTCCTTCCTCCCTTAGGACATGGAAACCACAAAGCAGACATCTGCTGGACGGTCAGGGGAGTGGTGACCTTTGTCTCACAGCACTGAGGCCATTCACAAACCATGCCTTGCAGGCCAGATCCAGATCCTTGCCTGTTTTCACACAGTTCTCAAGCTAAGATGCTTTTTACATTTTAAAAGAGTTGTTTGTTGTGCTGGGGATTGAACTTAAGAGTCTCACACACGCTAGACAAAGGCCCTACCACTGAGCTACATCCTTACCCTTTATAAATTTTATTTTGAGACAAGATCTTTCCTTTTTTTTCTCATTTTTCTGAGACAGGGTCTCATTATTAGTCCGGTCTGGCTTTGAACTCACTATGTAGCCCAGGCTGGCCTTGAACTCTCAATGATCCTCCTGCATGCTGGGATCACAGACATGCACCACCATGCCCAGTGAGATAAGGTCTTTCTAAGTGGCCCACGCTGGTCTCAAACTTTCAATCCTCCTGCCTCAGTCTCCAGAGTAGCTGGGATTATAGGCCTGTGCTACCCTGGCCAAATTAAAGTGTTGCTACAAAATAAATAAAGCACAAAAACATGTAATTAGAGATGATGTGTGGCCCATAAGACCTAAAATATTTACTCTCTGACCCTTTTCATCAAGTGTCTTGGCCTCTGGCCTTGTATGCAAAATACAAAATGGGGAAAGAGAACACTTTTTGTAACAGTTTTATTTGAAGTGCAGTGTTCTGCCTCCTTAGGCAAATGGTCCAGCCACTTCATATCTAACTCTTTTCTACAATGCCCTAGGTCCCAAGGGTGTTACAAAACACATCTTTTGTGAGATTAAAAAAAAAGCATGTTGTGGCTAAGAACTACGCAGAGGGAATGTGGTTGGGAACCCCTTTTGAGGTAGAATATGAAGGCAAGTGGGATGCTGTCCACATGTATGAGATATCACAAAGTAACTAGGCTACTTCCCTAACTCTAGGTATGGAAACCCAAGCTGTATTGAGCACACAGTGTGGGGTGTTCCTGGAGCACAGGCCTTCTGATGCAAAGCAGGAACCAACACATAGCCAAGCCAAGTAAGTAAATATAAACCCCACACACCTGACAGGAGCACCCCCTTCTCCCCAACCATGGTGTCGAAGCCCTGGGGAAAGCTCCGGATGAAGCCTGCTGCGTTGGCCACCTCCGCTGCTCTCTGCACCTGCTCTGCAGTCACCAAGGATGGGCTGTCGGCACCGTAAGCGATGTTCTCAGCGATGGAACAAGAGAACAAAATTGGCTCCTACAGGTTGGAAATAAAGCATATCTGACACAAAGCTCGAGGCAAACTTCAAACCGGCCTTGTTAGTGCAGAGAGCTCAGCGCAGCACTCAGCCCCAAGGGCGACTCCATGAGCTGGAAGGACAGAGCTCCTCACTCAGTTCTGCGTCCGTGCTCTGCACACACTTGCCCAGCAGGCTTTTGAAAAGCTCCCATTTTACTAAGAGCAGGGCTGATGTGATCATTTGTCGTCCTCACCATACTGTGGGAAAGGAGACCCCTCACAGGAGCCCACAGGTCCCCTGCCCAGCCAGGGCCTTGTAAACTCTGAGGCCTGGAATACTGAGTTCACCTGTTTGCCGCTGCCACCCTTCTCCTCAGGACAAAGGGGTCTGTCTGTGTTCATCACTCTCCAACACACACACAAACTAGGTGGGAACCTCAGAGGTCCTAACGAATGCACCGACTCCCAGCCTCTCCCCTCCATTCTCATGAGTGTGAGGTTGACACCTTGCCTGGCCTCCCATGGCTGTGTGACCCATGTGGCCCCATACAGGGGGTGAGGTGAGGAGACACTTACCACAGGACAGTACAAAAATGGGAAGCCACAGGAGGGTCTGCTGAGCCCATGTGATATTGACAAAAATTGGCTATGGCAAAATTTCTCCACCACAAAGATCCCACGATCCCAAACAGCCTCAGCCAAGCGATCCCATTACAGTCATACTCTACTTTGACACTAGTCCCTGCTTTGCAGAGTCCCTGGGCCTCAACATAGCCTTCATTTGTGTATCCCTGAAATCACATGCAGAGCAATGACAGTGGCTGGCTGGGGACGTGGCAAGAGCCAACGAAAGGATGTACGGTTTTTTCCACATCCTCTACAGATTATCTGCATTACAAAGGAACAGTAGTCCCAGCTCTGGGTAAAAACTCAGAGCTTCAAGTTTCAACTGTTAAAAGTGCTGCAGGTCCTCCAGAAACAGCAAACCATCTGCCAAGTGAGAGGAGTTTACCACAGCTGGAAAAGTGCAACTGAAAAGGACAAGTCATTTCAAAGGATGGGAGGTGAAAATGGAGGCCTCTTACCTGACTGACAGTCCCAATCTTGGATCTCAGCCAGACAGGGTTTAGCTGACGGATGTCGTGCCCATCAAGACTGATAGTTCCTTGTGGAGGGGAGAGTAGAGAGTCACTGAATGTCAAGGGGCTGATAAGTAATACAAACACAGAAAGGACCCAGTGGGAAATTTCTACATGTAGGTTTCTGAAGGTTAAAACTATTCCCCAAATCTCCCCGTAAAATGGAATCTAAACCCAACATGCTTTATATAGTGTCAGAGCCAAGAGGGACCTCTGGTTGAAGTTTAGGTTCTCCCGTAGCAGACAAGCCACTCGGGGTTGTAGACAGTCCCCAGAGTCCCACTGACTGGGTGTTCTGAAAATCACATGCCCTCGCAGAATCCTGATTCCAAAGACAGCCATCATTGGGGAGAAACAACTGCCAGGTTAACTGTTTTTTTACAGTAAGCACTGTGTGGTTCACAAGCAGAAGTGTCAGACAGTTTCCCAGAGGTCCAGCACCTGGCATGGCGTGGCTCTGTTGTGCTCTGGAGAGGGGATGCCCCAGAGAACATGGGTACTTGCTCTTAGCTACTGAGCTCCACTGAGCATGGCCTCCTCTCAGATGAGGGCCCATGAGGCGGCGGCAGGAGCACAGAGACCAGGAGGTGCAGCTCTGGACTGAAGAGGCAGAGGAAAGACACAAAACCTACCAGATGTCAACAGAGCCTCTGTGGAAGTCATTCTACCCCACAAGTGACACCTTCTGCCTGAGAGCACTCCTCCCAAGATGAGCTCCGCTGGCTAATATCCGCTCATCTTGTCCACCTAGGGCATGGGAGAGAGGCTCAAGAGAGCCCCTACCCACAGCATGATAGGACACTTACCAGAAATGGGATCATACAGTCGCAGGAGGAGCGAAACCACAGTGGATTTGCCAGAACCACTTGAGCCAACCAGCGCCGTGATGGATCCTGATGGGATGGAAAGGCTGAAGTCCTGGAATATGGACACCTCTGGGCGAGCCGGATAGGCGAAGTGCACGTTCCTGAACTCCAAGGCGCCCTGGAAACTCTGCTCATTTAGAGTAATGCCCTCTGAAACACAAGAAGGAAGGTCAACTATTCAGTGCAAAATCAAACTCACCACCCAGTGCAGTTCTCCTGTGTTCCTGAGGGTGGATGGCAGACAAGGCCCACAGGAGCACTCTCTGAGGGCACGTCAGGGAGCAGGCCTGCATCTAACGCCTGACATGCACCTGCCACCACCTACTGCACAAGGCGCCCTATGTGCACAGTCTTGTTTGATCTTACAACCCAACCCCAACCTCTACTTCTTCTGAGAAGGACACTGAGGCCACAGATGACATTGGGAAGCTGAGACCTGCCTGGGGGCAGTCTGGCTTCCAACCCTACTACTGGGGGAGAGTTCACCTTGTCAACCTTGAACGAACACTTGAAAGATCAGTGATGAACAGAGGGTGCTGTACCATGGCAACTGAGGCCTCTGCCTGGGGGTTACCTGGCTCTGACAGAGAAACTTGGCTCATTTCTGCTTGGACTCGGGTCCCAGGGCCTGTCACACTGGAGAAAACAGGGTTCACACACTGGCCTGCACCTACCCCACAGTACCTGGGGGCCCAGGAGTGGAGGAGAGTGATTGCTCCTCATACCATTCCTCCCAAGTCCCAGTGAGGGTACCCAGGCCACAGCTCCAGCTCTAGCCCCTCAGTAGCAGCATCCTACACCCGACTCCAAAATGCCAAGAAAATTAGAGCGTATGTATGTTGGATCCTTCCAGTGCTCAACCCTAGCCCCTCACAGGGTAGGCCTATCCAGTCAATGGCTGGCTCCCTAATTGCACCCAGCCTGCTCTCTGTCCTGCTCTGGGCAGGAACCAATGACTTGCAGGGACATCACAGCAGCCATACCAGTGGGCCTCCTTGCCCAGCCCTCTCACGGGAAACCTGTCCCTTCCTGCTGAGTTCAGAGACCACATCCAGTGGCTGCTCATCCTTCAATGTCAGGGCAGGGCACCAGCCTACCTCTCCAAAATTTAATAAACTCCAAGTACAATGGTCCATGTCAAACACGAGAACATATATTTGTAACATTTTCCTTTAGTAAGATGCTGAAAAATGCAGTCCAACTATTCCATGGCACACAGACATGTACACAAGTTACAACAGACTAAAACTTCAATCCCATCTCAGACTCACCATTAAAAGGCAGCTGGGGCTGCCGCTCCAGGAGCTCCCAGAGACGTCCGCCAGCACCCAGTCCTTTCATCAGCTCTGAGTAGAAAGAGCTCAGGCCTGGGACAAGAAGCAGAAAATACACATCTATCGGCAGGACCAGAAAAAGCCACAGGCTCCTCCCATCCCACGGGGCAACATGACAAGAGTCTTATTTTGTTGGTAGTAGTAGTCTTAGGTATTGGGGAGTGAACCTATGACCTCTGCACTGAGTTACATCCCCAGCCCGTTTTTATTTTTTATTTTGAGAAAGGGTCTCGGTAAACTGCCTGGGCTGGGCTTAAACTTGTGATCCTGTGTCAGCCTGCCAGAATGCTGGCATTACAGGCATGAGCCACCACACTGAGCAGACAATAGAATGCTTTTAACATGAATTTGCTACTTTCAACAAAGCTGAGGTTGCTGAATGAAACCAATATTCACCATTCCTTGTCTTCTATCGTTATCTTCCTCTGGCTTCTTAACCCATAGTTTTGTTGGTTTTTCATAAGGATTTACTGTTTGATTAAGGAATTTACAAAAGCATATTGCCAGTTGGGTGTGGTGGCGCATGCCTGTAATCCCAGCACTCAGAAGGTTGTGGCAGGAGGATCATTGCAAGTTTGAGGTCAACTTGGGCTACGAAGTGAGCTGAAGGCCAGCCTGAGCTGCATAGCGAGACCTTGTCTCAAAAAGACAAAAAAAAAAAAAATTGCCATACTAATCTCTACCAAGTGAAAGTCACAATGTTGCAGAAGAAATCTACTAGTCAAAAACATAGCACTAAAAAACAAAACAAAACAAAACAAACAAACAAACAAAAAAACCATAGCACTAAGGGCCTGGGATATAGCTCAGGGGTACAGACACCTGCTTGGCAAGCACAAGGTCTTGAGTTCAATTCCAGGTAACCCCCCCCACCAAAAAAATTTAAAAATAGCACTATAAATAAAATACAATGTTTATCTAATAACTAAAATGAATGAAATACCTCAGTATTTATTTTAAAGATAATCTATAAAAGTCAAATCTTCCCGTTAGGTATTTAATAAGTACAACTTTCACATGGGCTAAAAATGAGAAAGGAGTTCCATTGTTAAGTCTTCTAGTTACCTTTACTTATGACCTAACTAATAATTTAAACTCCAACTACAGGGCCTGCGGATTTAGCTCAGTGCCACAGCGCCTGCCTGGCAAGCGCAACATCGTGAGTTCGATTCCGGGTACCGGAAAAAAAAAAAAACAAGCAAAAAAAAAATAAACTGCAACTACAATGGTCCATGTCAAATATGAGAACATATGTTTGTAACATATTCCTTTAGTAACGATGTTGAAAAATGCAATCCAAATGTTGCTAGGCATATAGTAAACCTTCACAGCAAATTATAATAAAGCATCTGGACCCACACAGACATGGGTTAACTTATCTCCAACAAAGACACGAAGGCAGCATGATGGAGATGCAGTGTTGGCACCTCTGTATCTCTGGAACACCTGGACATCTACAAACAAAACTGACCTAGATACAGACGTCACACCTTCCACAAACATTAATGTACAATGAATTATAAGCTGGGCATGGTGGTATATGCCTGTAATCTCAGTGCCTGGGAGGCTGAAGGCATGAGGACTGCCACAAGTTTGAGACTACCGTGGGCTACGAAGTCAGTCCAAGGCCAGCCTGAACTACATAGTGAGACCCTGTCTCAAAACAAAAACAAAAAATAACTAAAAACCTACATATAAATGTGAAACTATGAACTCCTAGAAGATCATAGGAGAAAAGGTACACAACCTTATACATGGCAATGATCTTTCAGACATGACTTCAAAGGTACAGGCCACCAAAGAAAGAAAGGCTCATTTCATTAAAACTGAAATGTTCTGCTCTTCAAAATCACTACTGAGAGAATGAGAAGACAATCCAGACTGGGAGAGAGTACCTGTGAAAGACGCATCTGATAAAGGACTTCTGTCCACAATACAGAATGTCTCTGACTTATGATGAGCTGACCTATGATTTTTTTGACTTTGTAAAGGTCCAAAAGTGATTTGTCCTCAGCAGAAACCATACTTCAATTTTTTTTTTGGCTTTTGGAGACAGGGTCTTGCTATTCAGTTCGGGCTGGACTTGAGCTCACTTTGTAGCCCAGGCTGGCCTCAAACTCACAATGATCCTCCTGCCTCAGCCACCCAAGTGCTGGGATTACAGGTGTGCGCCACCACACCTGGCAATACTTCAAATCTTGAATTTTGATCTTATTTTGGGCCAGCAATTTGTGGTATGACCCTTTCTCATCATGCTGGGCGGCGGCAGCAGCTCCCGTCAACCACATGATCAAGAGGGGAATAATGAGCACTACGCTGCACTGTGCTGCAGAGCCCAAGGATGTGGCAGGCTACGTGGACTAAATGAATTTTCACCTAATAATACTTTTAACTCACGATGTGTTTGTGGGGACACGAGCCCATCATCAGGAGGAGCACTTGTATACAAAGAACTCTTAAAACTCAATATATGAAACAGAAAAAATTTCAATAGGTTCCTCCCAAAGATGTATAGACAGTAAACCAGACATGAAAATCACATCAGAATTCATCAGAGAAATACAAACTGAAACAATGAAACATCACTACACACCTACTAGCTTGGCCAAAATCCTCAACTCTGACAACACCAAGTGCTGATGAGAATGTGGAGCAACAAGAAATCTTTTCCATCACAGGAAGGAATGTGAATGGTGCAGCCAATTTAGATGGCAGTTTTATAACCTCTTATGAAATTAAACACATTGCTGCTATCCTGTCTAGCAATCTCTGTCTTTGGTATTTACCCAAACCTAATGTCCACACAAAATCCTGCACAAGGATGTTTATAGCAGCTTTATCATAAGTGCCAATACTTAATGGGTGTCGATAAATAAACAGATAACTGTGATACATCTAGCCCATGGAACATTATTTACAGCTCAAAAGAAACAAGCCATCAAGTCATAAAAGACACAGAGGAATCAAATGGATATTTCTAAAAAAAAAGAAGAAAAATCAGAAAGGCTACAACATTGTATGATTCTGGAAAAGACAAAATTATGGAGAGAGGAGAAAGTCAGTGGTTGGCCAGGCATTGTGTAGTAATCCCAGCACTTGGGAAGCTGAGGCAGGAGAATTGTTGAGAGAGTTTGAGACCAGCATGGGCTGCAAAGTGAGTTCAAGGCCAGCCTGAACTGCATAGCAAAACCCTGCCCCAAAAAACAAAAAAAAAAAAAAAAAAAACCCAACTGAACTTTACTGTGAACTATGGACTTTAACTGACAACAGTATGTCATTGCAGGCTTATCACCTGTTTAAACAATGCACTACTCTGGTGGGAGACATGGATAGAGGGGCAGGCTGTGCATGTGTGCAACGATAACTTGGAAAATCTTTTTGCCTTTCACGCTGTTTTGCTGTGAAAGTAAAATGCTTTTAAAAATAAATATTAGTTGTAAACTGGGCATGGTGGTGCATGCCTTAATCCCAGCACTCGGGAGGCTGAGGCAGGAGGATCACTGTGAGTTCAAGGCCAGCCTGGGCTACAAAGTGAGTTCAAGACTAGCCTGAACTGCATAGTGAGACCCTGTCTCAAAAAGACTAAACAAACAAATAAACAAACATTAGTTTTAGAAAGGGACAGCTGACAGTTGGCACAGCTGCCATCTAGACTTCAGTGCAGTGCTTGATGACAGCATCATCCATAGGGAGCAGCAAGGGCCACAATGACGGATTACAGTAAGGAGCAGTGCAGAAGGTAGAGGCTCTGAAGTCCACCCACTCCAAGTCCTTCACAGCCAAAGTCTCTCAGCTACTCTTGTACAGCTCCAGTCCTTTTCATGTTCTCTTTCATCAGCAGGACAGTGGATGGTAAGGGGATGAATGAAGAGGGCCTTGAGAGTGAAATGTCTTGGTATTATCAAAAAATCAACCTAGCTTCCCCATTACTGTGACATCTAAGACTGGAGGAAATGACCAAACTGTGTAGACTATGCTCACATTTACATGTAGGGGAAAATACCCAGCTGAAGCTGCCCTTTATGAAATACTCTCCCTGGAAAATCTAGAAAAATAGAAGATAATGCTACCACAGACATCTTAAAATGATAAGAAAGGCAGACTAAAGAAAATCTCAGTATGGCCATCACTTTTACTCTGCTGACAGCTGTCCAAGAAAAAAAATTCAGTGAGCTAGGTGTGGTGGCGCACATCTGTAATCCCAGCACTCAGGAGGCTGCGGTGTTTGGGATCACTGCGAGTCAAGGCCACCTTGGGATACCTAGTAAGTTCAAGGCCAGCCTGAATTACATAGAGAGTCTGTCTCAAAAAAACAAAAAAAGGGCCCTCAACAGGCAAATGGACTGTCTCCATCTCCAGACATTCTTGACTACCAAAGCATCTATGGCTATACTGACAGGATTTTAGTTTTCCTTTCCTTTTATTCTAAGAAAAAAATAATTTTGAGGGTATTCTTCTGATAGTTTTCATCACTGAACTTATATAAACTGGTAACATTTCTTTTTTTTTTTTTTTTTTTTGGTTTTTCTCCGGTACCAGGAACCGGACTCACGACCTTGCACTTGCCAGGCAAGTGCTTTTGCCGCTGAGCTAAATCCCCAGCCCCAACTGGTAACATTTCAAAAAAAAGAAGAAAGGAACGGAGAAATGGAGGAAGTGAAGGGACAGAATTGGAGGTACTTTAATATAACAAAGTTTAGCCAGGGTATGGTAGCACATGCCTGCAATCCTAGCACTGGGAGGCTGAGGCAAGAGGATCACTAGAGTTGAAGGCTACAAAGTGGGTTCCAGGCCAGCCTACACTACAAAGTGGGACTCTGTCTCAAAAAAACAAAAAAAATGTTTAAAAAAAATTTCTAATTAGGCCGGGCGTCATGGCGCACGCCTGTAATCCCAGCACCTGGGAGGCTGAGGCAGGAGGATGGTTGTGAGTTCTAGGCCAGCCTGGGCTACAAAGTGAGCTCAAGGCCAGCCTAAACTGCATAGTGAGACCCTGTCTCAAAAAGACAAAAGAAAGGGGGCTGGGGATTTAGCTCAGCGGCACAGTGCCTGCCTGGCAAACACAAGGTCATGAGTTTGATGAAAAAAAAAAAAAAATTAATTAAAACACTAAAGAATTTTAAATCCAGTCAGCGTGTTGTTTTAATTCCTATCCTGGTCAGTGTCTATCAGGCTGTGAAAAAGGAAACAGGTAGTGACAGAAGCGCACTGCTCTAGGTCCTTTCATTCCTCACTCTGTTTTTAGGTGGCAGATGCGGACAGAGCTGTAGTTATTTATATCCCGGCATGCTGGGTTTCTGCATGCTTGGCCTTGGCATGTACAGTCTCTGCAGCACCCTTGGCAGCCAGGGGAGGCACCTGACTGCCTGGACTAAACCAGCGCTTTCTAATCTGACCCAAGCAAGGTACATTTGTGCATTTGACCCTGTGGATGGAAGGGAACAAACCCCAAAACAGAGATACATCTAAAGTGCCACAGTGTTGGGGTTGGGGAGAGGAAGGATTAGGAATGATGGTGTCAAGCCGGGCATGGTGGCGTATGCCTGTAATCCCAGCATTCGGGAGGCTGAGGCAGGAGGATCATTGCGAGTTCGAGACCAGCCTGGGCTACAAAGTGAGCTCAAGGCCAGCCTGAACTGTATAGCAAAACCCTGTCTCAAAAAGACCAAAAAAAAAAGGAATGATGGTGTCAAACGAGGCAGAAAACACAAGAGTGGAAGAGCCAAAGAAGGAAGCTGTCAAGCATGGAATGTGAACAGACACCACAGAAGGGCGGTTTAAACAGGGGTGACCTGACCACTCCAGAGCAGGACAGAAGAACCTGAGGAGCAGCATCACAGTGGGCGTGGGGCCCAGCTCACTGGCTCAACCAGGGACAGAGAGAAAGGGACAACATACGGTCATTCGCACTCCACAGCATCTTAACCAGGCTTCTCTCCAACCAGCAGAACCAAAATGCTGTTAGGAAAAACCTCTCCCTTCAATGAACTGACCAAGGAGCCGGGGATATAGCCCAGGGGTGTAAGTGCTTGCTTGGCAAGCGTGAGGCCATGAGTTCGATTCCTAGTACCAAAAATAAATAAATAAACAAACTGACCAAAACCCAAAAATAATCCTCTCCAAGAGCGGATACCACAGTATCCAGTGTCCTACTCAGACCTCAGCTATCCCCTTACCTGACCCTTCCATTTCAGAGACCATAAAGAAAAACAAAAGGCAGGAAATTACTTACCCAGGATGGCTGGGGACCTCTGAGAGGGACAGAGAGACACTCCACAGTACAACTCTGGTTCATGACCTTCCTCCCTCTCACCCAGGAATGGATGATAAAAGCTAAACTCGGAGGGGCTCTGTCTATTTTTTGAGATGGGTTTTTACTATGTTGCCTGGGCTGGTTTGGAACTCCTGAGTTCCAAAGATCCTCCCAAGTAGCCAGTACTACAGGTAGACACCATGCCTAATCCTTAGACATTCTTGACAAAAGTAAGCAACTCTTGTTTCATGCATTTTGTAATTTGTCAATACTTTTTATTGTTCATTAGTTTTGAGTATTGCAAAAGGAATTTTATTCCCCAATGATTTGCCAATCACAAAACTCATTACCAAGGACTATATGTTTGTGTGTGTATGCCTGCTCAGCATCCCCCTCTTCCCTACATCTGTGAGCAGACAGACAACTGCTTTAGCAGCAGGCCGGAATCACCACTCCCAGCAAGGCTGGGATACAAGAGGCTACAAAGATCCCAGACTTCCCAATACAGGACTTGCTCACTCTGCTCACAACTTCATTTTCTGAAAAGTTGGTATTTCACTTGTAACTTCCCAAGCCTATTAAATTATATACCTCCAATGCTTACTCCAACCCAGAAGGCGTACATGAGAAAGGCGGAGAGCTCGCCCACGGTCATGTGAGCACTGCCCATCAGCAGCCCTCCCTTGTATAGCACAGAGAGCACGATCAGGTTCCCGGAGAGCCCTGTCTGTCAAGGAAAAAACACACAAGTCAGGCAGGACCAGAGGCCTCTCAGGATGCAAAATGCATCAACAAGGCCTCTGGTTTACTCTTCTGGACATTAAATTCCAACTGAGTTTCAAATAAAAGTTTTAAAATATCTGCTACATTGAGAGAAATAACCACATCATCACGAAAACTCAGCTGCTAAGTCAACCACTGGGTTCCTGTCTTGCTCAACCTACTCAGTTTGCACAGGAAAAAAGCAGCCTCGAGGATCTGCTCTGACTAGAGGGAGAGCGGAAGTCTGCTCCACGTATCACGTGTTCTGATGAGTGCCCTCTGCAAGTAGGGGCTGGAACCCTGTGCATGGACTCTGCTCATTGCTGCCCTCTCTGGGCCACTGCTTCCTAGCTAGTTAATTGTGGCAAGGACTGAATCGCCTCTAAGGATTATTCCAGTGTAGGCACACCGTGAATTTTCCCACATGACAATCTTCTATTTCAGTATCTTATTTAAGCTCTCTCGCTCGCTCTCTTTTTTTTTTTGGTCTTTTTGAGACAAGAGTTTCACTATGCAGTTCACACTGGCCTTCAACTCACAGCAATCCTTCTGCCTCAACCTCCCAGTTTAAACTCATTTTCATACCTCTTTCTTGAAGTGCACTGAAGTTATTTTGGCTAATGCTCAGGAGATTTCAAATTTGCCCGCATCAGAACAGCCCAGAGCCATTCTGTCCAAATAGACTGTGAGCTCTAAATGGAGCTGAGGACCTCTGGCAACCCAGTGGCAAGTGGAGCCCATGCAGCTGCCTACACCCACCCTGGGAAACGGTCCCTGACCTCACCACCCGCTACCTCCTTCCTAAGCACAATTTATTTGCCTTCCTAACAATGACCAAGTCATTCTTAGCTTGAAGTAGGGTAAAACCATTTTCTACTATGGCATAAGCTACAGAATAAAAAAGTCTCACCATCACAGCATCTGCCCTTCCCATCCTCCCCAGAATGGTCTACAGTCTACGTACTGCTCCAAAGAAGCCGGCCCGAGCGAAGGCTTCCTTCCTTGCTAACTGCAGCACGTGGTCCACTTTGTCACTGTACTTCTCTACCTCCGTCATCTCTTTCCCAAAGGCTCGGACTGTTCTTATGTTCCCAATGCGCTCCTCAGCCAGCTGCGAGAGTGACAAACACAGGGCCAGGGGGAAGGGTCACAATTCAATCTGGAAGCAAAATCAAAATGTGATTCTCATTTAAAACTCTATCAATGCAAAGTCATTGGAGAAACACTACTAAGTCAGGAAAAAGGTAGCAAAAGAATACACAGAATGATCCTACTGTCCAAAAATGTGTATCTACATGTGCACATATCACAGAGACACACACAAATACATGATATACAGATATAAATGATGAATAGGTAGCAGCAGGACAGCAGAGATAGAAATATATGTTCACGCGGAGATAAAAAAACAGATTCCAGCAGGGCATGGTGGTGCCTTCAGGAAGCTGACACAGGAAGACTGTTGTGAGTTTGAGACCAGCCTGGGCTACAAAGTGAGCTCAAAGCCAGCCTGAACTGCATAGTGAGACCCTGTCTCAAAAAAAAGAAAAAAGGGGCTGGGGATTTAGCTCAGCGGCATAGTGCCTGCCTGGCAAGCGCAAGGTCATGAGTTCAATTCCCGGTTCAGGAAAGAAACAAAAAAAGAAAAAAGAAAAATAAAGAAATAGACTCCAGCCAGTGATACAGCTCAGTGGCATAAGCACCTGCCTGGCAAACGCAAGGTCCTGAGTTCAATTCCCGGTACAAAAAAAAAAAAAAAGAAATAGACTCCAAAATGTTAGTAACATTAATTCTGAGACAGGATTATCTGTATTTTTGTCCTTTTTCATTATATTTTCATATTTTCCAATGATAAACAAGCATAGCCAGGCATGGTAGCACACGCCTGTAATCCCAGCATTCGGGTGGCTGAGGCAGGGAGGATCCTTGTGAGTTCTAGGCCAGTCTGGGCTACAAAGTGAGTTCAAGGCCAGCCTGAACTGCATAGTGAGACCCTGTCTTAAGAAGACAAAAAAAAAAGAGAAAAACCCAAGCATGGTTTTTGAAACATACAAATGTAAGCTATTTTTAGCTTTTTTGTTTTTAAAAAAAATGCCCATTTAAATTTTTATTTTTGGGGCTGAGGATTTAGCTCAGGGGCACAGCGCCTGCCTGGTAAGCTCAAGGTCATGAGTTCGATTCCTGGTACTGGAGAAAAACCAAAAAAAAAAAATTATTTTTGCATGTGCTAAGGATTGAACTCAGGCCCTTGCCAGTGCTAGGCATATGCTGTATCACTGAGCTGCATCCTTAGCCCATTATTAGTTTTAAAAAAGGTACTACTTACTGCACGGCACTGCAAAGCTAGCTTTACTGAATTAATGATGGATACAATGTCATCCAGAAACTATTTCTAAAACATACTAGTTTTCTGCTCCTACCAGTAACAGAAATGGTAAGGAGGAAAAGCTGATATAATATTAAGTCAAACTGAATGTTGTCTGGGTTGTGGGTGGAAGCCAACTCCAGAGGTAGAGTACTTTATGTTCAGGGCCAGGGGGCCTAGCATGAGGGAAGGTGTTTCTTTTTCTTGTATACTAGGAGTTGAACTCAGGCAGCAGTGAGCTATGTCACCAGCCCTAAGCTGCCCACGCTGGCTAACTTGCCATCCTCCTACCTCAGCTTCCCAGTGCTTTAAAAAGTTCACATACTCTGTAGCTCTCCCCACAGCTCTGGCTCTGAGCCCATTCTCCTGGAGCTCACGAGCACAGGAAGGCTGTTACCTGTGTGGCTTGCGCCAGTGAGTCCTGTGTGGCTTTGCTCAGTTTCCGCAGATATCGACCATAAATCACAGCAAGGATGGACATTGGAGGGACCACACTTAAAACAAAGGTGGCTAGACTCGGTGACACAAAAAACTGTCAAAAACAAAAGCCAAGAGGTATTTGTCAGGTGGAGTGGTGAGACCGCATCACCTAGTGTGTACACGGAGACAGACTGGAAAGTGCTGTCTCAAGCTGTGTCTCCTGTGTGGGTGGACTTCTCAGACAGAAAATCCCACGAACACATAGTCTGCCACTGAGGAGTAACAGGACAGAGCACTCCTGACGGAAGACAAAACAGTTCCCCCTCAGACTAATTCTATCTATATCAGGCCACTTTATTCAACAGCAGAGGGCAGCTAGGCCAGCCACCCAGCAGGGAGGCCCTTTCTGCTGCACAATGGCCAGACTTCTGCGTTTGAGCCTGGATCCTCTTGAGACCCTAAATGACCAGAATAATGTGTCCCATTAAAGTGACTAAGTCAGAGAAGTCACTTCAACCCTGAATCAAACAATAGTCAGGAGTGGGCTGAGGGGTGGGGGCAGTGGCATACACCGGTAAACCCAGCACTCAGGGAGACCTTGTCTCAAAACAGAACAAAAAAGAGATGTGGGGGAAGAGAAAGTGCGCTAGCTGATGGAATGTCAGTGGACAGAGTGGGAGCTGTCTCCCGGCGTGGTGGGCTGAGGCCAGCAGGACCACACGTCTGGCCAGTGAGTGGAGAAGTCCCTCATGGCTGCAGAGGCTCAAAGAATAATCAGCTTCTAATGTAACAGAAGGGGTCCCATGAGCTTTCCAATGAGGGAATTGTTTTAAATAACATTAGTGTTTCTTTAACATACTAATTAAAATCTACCAAATCTCATTTGCACAGAAAATAGTGTAATCAGTATAAAGTCTCCTAAAATGCTCAGGAAACACTACAGACTGAAATTGAAAGTAATAGCTTTTTGTTGGTTTGCATTTGTTTGAAACAGGGTCTCAGTATTTAGCCCAGGCTGGCTCTGAGTTCACTAATAGCTCCGGCTAGTCTTAAATTTGCAATCCTCCTGCCTCAGCCTTCTGAGTGTTGGGATCACAGGCATGTACCACTACAACTGGCTTGTATATCTACTTTCTCACTCACAAATCATTACCGAGCACCTGCAACAAGCACTACAGGCATAGGAAGACCAGACCACGCAGTGGGAGTTGGATAATACACCAAGGAAAGAGAGAACAACCTCAGGTATGCCCTGTTCTTGGGAGGCCTTGATACCAAGCAAAGCACACAGAGGCCACATGTGTTCACAGAAGCCCAGGGTGGGCAGACAGTCCCTCCAGGCAACTGGGAGCACAGTCATGTCTCCGATGTGTCCACCATGCTGGGTAGCATAGCCCAGGGGACTACCCATGGTGGAGGCCAACTGCCCAGGCCACCCTCCCCTTTACTCTGACTACAGGCTCCATGAATGACTAAGACTAATGTGGAATCCCCTCCTGTCTTCACATGGGAAGGAGATGGCAGCGCACATCAGCAACTGGCAATACGGTGCAGGCAATGTTAGAATCTGGTGCTTTGAGCCCAGGAGTGTGTGCAGGGGAAACAAGGCCACATCTTGCTCCTCCAGCTAAAGACCAGATCTCAGTGATAACACCTCAGGAGGCCTTGTGATGGCCAAATGCCTGCTCCCCTGGGCTCCTGTGGACACCCCAACCCTCAGGGTGGCTATGAGGAAGGATGAGCCCTTGAGGAAATGACTAGAGTTAGATGAAGCCTGGGGAGGTAGAGCACGGGCTCTGGTGCAGAGGGAATGTCCTTTTTGGTTTTTTGTTTGTTTGTTTGTTTGTTTTTGTGGTACCAGGGATCAAACTCACAACCTTGCACTTGCCAGGCAGGCGCTTATGCCACTGAGCTATATCCCCAGCCCCAGAATGTCCTTACAGCAAGAGACACCAGAGCTGTCTTTTCCCAATGTGAATACGCAGCAAGACGCTGGCTGTCTATGGGTCAAGCAGGAAGACCTCAGAACGCCCATGGACTTCTGGCTCCAGAATGGTAGGAAATAAATGTCCGTTCTATAAGCCCCTGTCGGTGGTCCTCAGTTATGGTGGTCTGGGCAGACCAAGACAGGACCCTTTGAACTGGCTGACTGACTACACTGAAGTCTCTCCCACTGCTATAGGAAAAGGGAACCTGAGGGTACTTCCCAGCTTGACCTCTTCCTGAACCCTAGAACCATTTGCATTTGGAAAACCAGAGTTAAGCACTGGACAAGTCTTCTTTGGGAGTCTACTTCCCACTTGGCTGGGAAAACAGGGGCCCTTAAAACTGTTTCCATTCGCTCTGTCAGTCATACATAACAGGCTGACTATGGCCCTACCCTCCTACTCCAGCGCGGTGTGCGGGACCCAGAATGGGCGAAGCCCCAGCCCTTCCAACATGTGAACAAGGGTCAATCCACTGCACCAAACAGTGTTGTGCGAAGTAACAGCCTCCTGTGGCATGGGGCACTTAACTTATGGCAGGTGTGATGGGAGAACACACTATTAATGCAATTTCTAATTACTTTAAATTTAAAACACAATAGTGTTTTATCCAGTCAGTTATTAGTAAGTTTTTGGTTTTTTGTTTTGTCTTTTTGAGACAAGGTCTCACTAAGCAGTTCAGGCTAGCCTCGAGCTCACTTTGTAGCCCAGGCTGGCCTAAACAATCCTCCTGCCTCAGCCTCCTGAGTGCTGGGATTACAGGCGTGTGCCACCATGTCTGGCTCTTTTTGTTTTTTTGAGACAAAGTCTTCCTATGTACTCCACACTGGCCTTTGAACTTGCTGTGTAGTGCAGGCTGCCCTCAAACTTGCAGCGATCCTCCTGTCTCAACCTCCCTAGTGCTGGGATTACAGGCATGCACCACAACCCTCTGGGAAGCTTTTTAATATGCCTGATTATGTCAAACGATCTTTTCAATTGCAAATCTAAATGCAAATCAAGCCAGGCATGGTGGCACACACTGGGAGGATCACTAGGAGTTCAAGGCCATGCTGGGCTACAAAGTAAGTTCAAGGCCAGTCTGAACTACCTAACAAGATCCTATCTCCAGTAAAAAAGAAACGCAGATCAAGCATTTTCAATGAAAATCTTGTG